TTTTCTGATTCTGTTTTTGTTTTGTTTTTTGTTTTTGTTTTGTTATTTATTTATTTTTTATTATTATTATTATTTGTAAATCTGTGTTATATGTACATGCCACTGTGTAGAATGACTGGTGGGAGGAGGATGGATTTTTGTAGCGTCTATTTTGGTAATGTTTCTCTTTTCATAGTATTGCTACCAAGTTTTTGACTAAATCTTACTGCTTGTTTCAGTTGGAAGAAAATCTTCGGTTTTAAAAATGAAGCCCACTCCACCTGCACCTGAAATAATATCCACAAAACGCCTTCGATCTGCTTCCCGTGCTAGTGCCTCAAAGAGGAAAGTGCTTATGGATGATATAATGGTTCTACATGGCGAGTATGTCCTGATTTCTGTGATAGTGACTTTTCGACCAAATATCATTCCTAGTTTGTCATGTTAGACCTAAAAGCAAGTAAGGAAATAGGATAGGTCCAAACAATGTAAGTCAAGTAGTATACCAAGTATTCAAGCATGAAATGTGAAACAAAAAGACTAGTATATGAAGTACAACCACTATGACATAGTTATTTTACCGAACAACATGACATAATGAATCCATGTGGCATGTGAATGGAATTGTCAGATATGGGGTTAACAAGTTGCATTTGAAACCACTCAGGAGCAAAGCTTTATATCCTTGCTGATTTTCCTGTAGTTTATCAAACGGAAAATGTGTCAAAAAATGCATGTTGAGTTCAACACAGCATAAAAAGCACAGTGGCATAATTCACAGGGTAACACGTAACTTATGGACATACTTTCTAGATATTTTTCGTGTTTAACCATCAGAAGAAAGCAGAGAGTTTCTGCATTTTACACTCGCAGGACTGCATGTAGTGTGAATAGTATACAATTGTCTGGATATATAATCTCTCTCCTTTAATCGAGCCTTGCAGCCTTTTCACACTGATGCATGATCTGCTTTTGTGATTTTATATTTGTGTGTTGTACATTTCTATTGCATGCTTTGTTCAAAGAAATCAGAATAACAATGCCTATACTATTAGGCAATTTTTATGACAGCCTAGTAGTCTAAACAGCATTTTGCTTTAAGATCTAGCGTGTAATGTTGTCCAGCCAGTCAAACTAAGCATGTTGTATCTCTTGTTGTTTCTCATGAGTTTGCCCCATGTTTTTAAACACTAACATCTGATTTCTCTCTTTAAATTTCTGTTTTGAAGTACAATACGGCAACAGTTGACAAATACTGAAGACATACGTCGTGTACGGAAGAAAGCTCCCTGTACGCGCCCAGAAATATCAATGATTCAGAGACAATTCTTGGAAGAAGAGATGTTTAGTGAACCCATTTTTACTGGTGAGTTAATAACAAGATACTCTGCTTGAGTTTGACTAAATACCTCTAAAAGATTGCTCTGATTTAATTTTCACATTTATTCCAGGTATGTCAGCAGCACTGATATTTTTGCACTGTGGAGTATTTGATTTGAGTAGGATAAAGGTTTCTGAAAATGATCAAGACAATGCTCCCATTGAATTGGCTAAGGATGTTGAGTCTTCTGTTGCCGCGAGAAATGATGTGGAAACACAGCCTGATAATATTCCTTGTCTCGGTGAGGATCAACACACTGAGAACAATGACCTGAGATCTCAACATGAAACCTTTGGGGAGGTAGCTGAAATGGAAATCGATGGCCAAAATGTTGAAGTGGCTGATGCTGCAGATCACATTCTTCATGGGATTGAATCACAATTTCCAACTGATCCCGTCTCTAATGATGCCAATGTGCCAGAAAACATTGTGCAAACAGATCTGGTGGATACAAAGAATGATGCCAATGCTTCTCTTCAGATGGATGCATCAAGCATGTCACCACAAAAGTTAGATACTGAACCTGTTTTGGGCGCATCACTAGTGGATAAAAGTAGTGAGGGAGTGGATACTATTGTTGCTGGACATGATGTTGAAATCAGAGTAGATACAGAGAAAGATAATGGCAATTTACATCCTTCTGAAACTGTAGGATGTGACAATATGGCCTCTGAAAACGGAGACCAATCTGTAGGAGGAACTGGAAATGATAATCTGAGTGTTATGAATCCAGATGAAGTCCAGGCATCAGAGTTGGGTTGTGATGAGAAGGATCTGACTTCTAGATGTGTGCAGGGTGAAGGAGTCAACTTAGATTCTAGTTTTCTCGTAGAACCCATTCTTGATGGAGAAAATGCTTTCTTGAATAAAGGAGAAACTTCAGACTTTCAGGAAGCTGATATGCCAAGTATCACGAATGCAGAAATTGCTGCTGAGTGCTCTACAATTGAGGTTCGCGGGGTAAGTTTTCTTCTCTCTCCTAAAGTTCTGAGTTTTATTGTGCATAAATATGCAAGTACTTCTAACATAGTGTACACATTTATTTTTATATCTTCAATTTATTTCCTGCTGCATCTCTTTTTGGCTCTCTTCCAATCAAGAATGTTCTTTGTTGTTCTCTCTCTCTCTCTCTCTCTCTTGCTTGTTTAATTTTTCTATTTCTTAATTATACTCTATGCCACCTTGTTTTTCGTTTAAGTTTCTCACCATATTCCTCGTAATTATGTTTCATGATATAATCAAGTTGCATATTGATTTTGTTCTTGTATTCTTCTGAATATTCGACTTATCACGTTCTATAAAACATGATTGAGAGAGATTTTTTCTTGTTCCTTTATTAGTAATGTGGTTGCCCGCTATTTTCTCAAGAGATGGCAGTCTTTTACAAACTGTCTTCGTCATATATAACTCCATGGGCAATATGTTTCCCTTTTTATTATACATATATGTTTCTTACCGTTGCTATTTTGTTTCCCATATGGTGCAGGATTTTGAAGATGTCACAATTGCAAATGACACAGGTTCACGTCTCAACTTGTTTCTTAATTTGGCTCCTCTGTGTTATAACTGCAACAATGGAACTTAAGTCACCTGTTTATTTATTTGTTCAATTATTATTATTATTTTTTTTGAAATTTCTCTTTCTTCTCTTTCAGAGTTTTTGAATGTAGATGATGATGAAGTAGCTGAAGATGACGAAGATAATGAGCCAGGCACCGAAGATACTCGTCTTCTTGAGAACACTGGATGGTCTTCTCGGACCAGGTATTATTATTTTTTTTAGGGATTGAAGCACATGACTAACTTTTAAGATTCTTTGGTAATAAAATGTGCGATATTTGTTTAACTTACCTTGAAGAGTTTTCATTGCTACTTTAGTATGTCTTGGGTTATGTCAAGGAGTTTCTCATTACATATTTCCTTGTTTGGTCTGTCCAATCTATGACTGCCAAAAGTTTTGTCCATTGTCCAGGCCCACTTGTAAATAGAAATAAATTCCAAATATTACTGGAAGGTTGTTTCTTATTAAAAAAAAAAAAAAAGAAATCCAAATGCGCTACCCTCCTTAATGATGTAATCAAACAGTTTTCTTCGTCTCCGAGCACCAGTTTCCGTTTGGGTTATGGTGCGAACTTATTTTGTTTACTTTGAATAATTTGTACCATTTGTTCTTATGCTGGATATTTTTTACATTTAAATTTTAATTATACAATTATGGCCGCTCTTATGGATTCTTTGGTAACTTATCTTCATCAAAATGTTTTGTGCTGTTCTTCTAGGGCTGTTGCCAAGTATCTCCAAACTTTATTTGACAAGGAAGAGCTGCATGGAAGGAGGGTTCTCCCCATGGACAATCTGTTAACTGGTAAAACTCGTAAGGAAGCATCAAGGATGTTTTTCGAAACTTTGGTAAGTTCTTTTCTTTGTTTCAAGTTTTATTCTCTTGCAAGACTCTTACATTGTTCCCTGTTAACCAGTAGTATAAACATTTCCACCACCAAGGGTGCCGCGGAATTGTGAAGTCTTGTGTGAATTATACATTCGTCGCTGGAATCTTTTATGTCATTTCTTCGAGGGGGATCGGTTTTCTTAATCGTGTAATTAACTATTTTTCAGGTTCTCAAGACGAAGGATTACATCCATGTAGAACAAGCAAAACCCTTCGACAACATTATTTTAAAGCCTCAAATAAAGCTCATGAAATCAGACTTCTGAAATCTCTTACATAGGAAAAGCAGATTACAGTTGAAACGACGTAGTGCTAGTTTGGCTGGTTGATTATTATCATTATCATTTTTTTTCCCTTCATTATTTTTATTTCCTTCTTTTTTTTTTTTTTTTTGGATAGTGTCCTTTTGTCTTTATATTTTTTGAATGGCAGAGATGGAGGGTTCTTGTTTGGATGAAGGGGCAGGGGAGAATAGGGAAAAAAAATATAATATTTAGTTTGATGTAATTGGTAGTTTAACAAAGGGTCTAGCACGTGTAGAAACAATGTTGTAACAAGGACTTATTTATGTGTATATATTTGTAACATATTACCCTTTCAATTGTAGAGGCTAATTTATTTGTTTGAATATGCATAAATTGATGTTATTTATATATTTATTTCTTTTTGCCAAGACGTAATGAATCTTATGATTGGAAATAGATAGTATCAGTTGCAAAACTCTTAGGGCATGTTTTTTTGTCTAAAAAACTTAAAAAAAGACAATTCAAGTTTCAACTTTATTTAAGTTCACGTTCTTTTAAGTTTTAACTTTATTCAATTTTATTCAACTTTATTTAAGTTCTAATTTCAACTCAAGTTATATCTCAAATTTAACTTAAAAATTATATTCAAGTTACACTTTAAAATAACAATTCCTTAAATTTGCAAACGTATGGGATTATCGTAATTGATGTTATTCCTAACATATTACCCTCGTCCAAGAGTCGTTAAAAGTCGACTTTCATTCACAGATGGATGTTGCAAAAAATTCCAAGTAAATGGATGTTCTCGTAATTCTCTCTGTTTTTTTTTTTTAACTTATATTTTTTGGATTGTTTACCCGTATCCGGACTTAAGAGTCCGTTTAGTTCATGGATTAGAACCATAAGATTACAACCGTTTTCAATTTACGTATTTTTTGTGAGTGAAAATAATGTAGCGAATCATAAATTATGATTCGAATTAGAGAACAAATCCTCTAACCAAACGGGTTTTATGTTTTAGAAAAGTCTCTTTATTTTCTACGCTCAAAAACTACAGAATTTAGAAATACATCTTCCTAACAACCCTTAAAGTATTTTTGTTTGTCATTTATTTTTGGCATTGTTTGCTTCGTAGATTTGAGTTTTTAATTTGAACTTAAATGTGTCATTTTTTAGGAGTTTTTAACTGTAGTAAAAAAATTAGATGTGACATTTTTTGAGAGTTTTAACTCTAAAAGTCGAAGGCCCGTTTAGTTTGCTGATTGAGTTTTTAATTCGAGTTGAGATGTGACTTTATATGAGAGTTTTTTACTGTAGTAAAAAGTTAGATGTGACTGTTTCTGAGAGCTTTTTATTATAGCAAACTCGAATCAGTAAAATGAACGGAACCCTAAAATTAAAAACTCAAATTGATAAAATTAACAAGACCTTTGTATTTTTATTGTTACCCGCAAAGGACATTTTGGGTCTCCAAATTATCGATTTATCTGAGCAATTTATTTGACTACCACGCGATTTATTGACTACATAATCTATTTGCTGGGGTTATTGTGCAAGACAAATCAAAACCAACAATTTGTCTAAGCAGGTGTCAAAAATCAAAATTAGCCACAATGTGGTGTTCGAGAAATCCGAGCGTTTGCAACGAAAATTGGAAATGAAGGTTGACTTCATTTGAAAAAAATAAAAAATTTACTTTTAAAATGCACGAATCTTGACTTTTACTCTACTCTTGACAAATATCTTAATAAATATAATATAATTATTTAATTAAAAATGTTGTAAATTAAGAATAAAATTTACCCTTAAAGACATGAATCTAGACTTTTACTTCTTATTTTTGATAAATACTCTTTTGTTAGTGTAATTATTTAATTAAAAAAGTTATAAATCAAGAGTTAAAGATCAAAATTCTGACGTATACACTTTCAAAGAGTGTTTGTCAAGATTACCCACTTCATTTTGGATGGAGAGAAGGTCCAAATGAGAACGTCGCATTCATCTTATTTATTTTGACAAATAATGGTCTCAGAATCACCTCCTGAACTTTTATCTTTAACAAAAGGGTTATTACAAAGCCATTTGCAATTTACCGTGGAAAGCAAGGCAGGCTACTAATAAAAGATACAATACAATAATGAACCAGGATACAATATAAACCAGGAAGCTAACCCCATAACTAGAATGCAATCTCCAAGCATACAAAATTGCCGGTTATTCCATCCATGAGAATTCAGTCACTCTTGCTTTTTTTACCTTCACCGCCTTTGAAGAAGCGCGAGAACCAATAAGCCGAGGATTTTGGGTGGCGAGTTAGGCCATTCTTATAGTCGACATAGATCAAGCCGAAGCGCTTGGTATAACCTTGAGCCCACTCGAAGTTGTCCAGCAATGACCATGCAAAGTGTCCTCTCACATCCGCTCCATCCCTGTGCATACGCAAATACAATTCACGGAAAAATACATGTGACCTTCAGTTCAAAATCTTTGCAGAGACTTTCTTGAGAAGCAAATTTTTTGGCTTTGATTGGAAGCTTTTTTGGAGAGCCAACGCTCTTTTGTCTGGTTATCCAAACACTCTTAGAAATTGCTTTTGGACCAAAAAGCAATGCCAAGCCGGTACTAAATATGAGTGCATATTATCATTACAAGCAAACTTCCTAGTTCGCCAGGCAAAGTATGTACAGAGATAGAAGTGAGAGAGGGTCAAAACGATGCAAACTAGAGTCAAACACCATTTGTAGCTACGTTCCATGAGATCAATATGCTACCAATTTTGATTGCTATCTACCGATTTTACTCAACAATCATGCATAAATAAGTATATACATTATTGAATTTGAATCCAAATTCTAGATCCATAGCCAATTTTATTGACATCTAAACATTCCATGTCTGGACAATCATATATACAGGATTATGAAATCATAATTTCTGCAAATAATATAAAGGGCTAATACCCAAAACGCCATGTGTTTTACCTAATATCACTTTTGCCTTCATATTATGCAAATGCCCAAAACACCCGTGTTTATAAAATTAGATTCAAGATACCCATGAAGCAAATAAATTTTTAAGGCCAGAGGAACAGATTTCCTAAAATATGGAAAGAAGAAAATCATCAAAGCATGTGGACATTTAGTGATTTCCTAATCGCACATGATACGAAGTATTAAAAGAAATTAATGACTGCTACAATTCTTAAGACTAGGAGGTTAAGAGACTATATGCATCATAACATAATAGAAAACGAAGTAAACCTACTTTATTGCCTGAGAAACCGCAGCAAGATATCTCTTAAAGTAGACGACTCGCAGTTTATCATCTAGCATTTCATGCAGCGGAGAGGTCTCATTTTCTTCATCGTCCATACCTGCAATGGCCATAACTGAAACTGTGAAAGAACCCAAGTTTGACTAGTCACATATCAAGAACTTTTACATTTCTTTCTTTCTGTAAGTGTTTCAGATTTGGGTTCCATATCTTTTGTTTTAAGTGTGTCATGGTATGGAAATTCAGGGACAGGAGAGTAAAAATTGAGATGCTAATACATGGGATGAGTAATGATCCATGTGATGAACCATATATATAGGAGGGTAAAATCTAAGAGTGTTTACCATTCTCAGTAACATAAATAGGGGGATTGTTGTATCTTCGGGCTATGTAATTGAGAACCTTTCGAATTCCCCAAGGAACCATGTAAAGCCATTCTGATGCGGCCTGCCAGATTGATCTTTCAGCAGATTGCAGACAATCTAATACGAAACAAGCCGTATTGTAGCATATTTTTTAAGTCATTTTAGCACAACTGGAAATCAATTACATAAAGTCAACTGTATCTCGACATAAAGGAAAATGCAGCATCTTCGTTTAACATGTAGAATTCCTTGATTTGAGTTTCTCAAACACACAAAAATTCTAGTTTACTACATGAGACGATAAATATGACTTTTTAAGATTAAGGACATGCAAAAGCACAATAGTGAATCTTGTATAGACCTCCGTAAGTACACACAAAAGATATCAGTTGGCACAAAAACGACAAATAGAAAGTCTATCCATTCCCATCAATTTAACAATAAAGTCCATCCATGAATTGTTTTAGATCCGATGTAGCATACTAAGCAGCACTCTTAGCTTCCAGCTATCTGAACAATAAATGTGTATGAGAGAGTGAGATCATTACCTTCTCACCAATCAGCTCACCACCTTCCCATTCAACTAACAGAGAATAGAAGTCAAGATAAAGTCTAATTAGGAACAAAAAAAAAAGGAAAAAGGAAAATATAGGAGAAAAAGAAGAGGCGGTGAATACCAATTCTCTCCATTGTTTGTGCTTTGTAAAAATCGCCTTCCTCAGGGCTTTCTTTTACATGAGAAATAAATCTTGTTGTATAATGATTCAGACCAACAAAGTCAAGAGAATTTGTAAGCAACTCCTTTTCTTCCTCTGTGAATTTGGGGAGTCGATGTCCAAGTTTTTCGCGCATGACTTTGGGATAGTCTCCATAATATATTGGGTCTAAATACCTGTAGAAGCATGAGGTGTAAGTACAAAACATTATTAAGGCAGAAATATAACCATTTATTTTTTTAAAAAAAGAAATAACTGAGTAACCATTTGAACATCGTATCTAAATGTTCATTCAGCATAGTCTTTTATCCTAGAAAAGCTTAAACCAAATGGTAAACTTGATATTGATATTTCTTTGAGAATATTGCAATATTACTACATCTTTAGCAGGAAAATAAAACACAAAAGCAAATAGACACCCACGAAACCTATACAATCCGTATCCAATATCCAATATATGAGAAAGAGCAGTGAGAATGAGAAATTTTCAAATCCAAAACCAAGAAAGTTAAAAAATAATTGGTAATAAATAACAATGTAATTAAGGGAAATTACCATCCGAGCTGAAAATCAATGCGCCTTGCAGCAGCAATTTTGTCTTCAATTTTATCAGAGTTAGCTTCTGCCCATTCACAATCAACAGTCATACCCACTTTTCCTCCTTGTTTTTCCTGAACGAGGAAGGATAAGGGAAAGGAAAAAAAAAAGAAGAAAAGGTATCCTTAATTCACATGGCATAAAGGAAAAAGTAATTAGAAAAAAAAGAATTATATAGTAAACTGTAGACTTTAAAAAAGAAAAATACAATGATCTAAATGAAACATACAAGCGTCTTCTGACTCATGAGCCATGCATGACTATAGATCATAGGAATACATCGAAGTACCCAATTGAAATGGTGGTCTAACTATGGTACAGAAAAGTTCTTAGTCTTTTAGGTCCCGTCTGTAGGTTTTTAAATCATTCTCCTGATTGGTTTTACTTCCACCTCCTACTAGTCCAACAACATTGAAAATATCAAGCAAGCAGAGAAAGACGGATGAAGCCATAAATGCTGAGAGCCGCAAGCTCATGGAGGAAGAGGGATTGGAGACTAGACTAGGATGAAAGAGGTCCAGACATGAAGTGGATTCATCATGAAAAGAAAAGGAGAAAAGTGAAGAACTGACGTGTAAATTGTCTTCTTCAAAATCTTATATTAAAAAATACAAAAGCATATGGTCATAAAAATATGAAGATCTAGAGGTAAATATCAAAATAAAGCTATACAAGGAACTTGACCTGTACTATGACAACTGGTCGTGAGCATCCAAGGCAATAAAATAAACTTTTAATAACCAACAAAACCGAGAAGGTGACAGAAAAATTTAAGACTGATTAAGTCAGAATCATCCTATTTCTAGCTCAAATCATTGTGTATGTATTGTAATATAAGATACCAAATAACAGATCCTCTAATCTTGGAAGTTGGATGTTCTGATCCCAAATGTAATCCATTGTGATTTATACACTACGGGGAAAAAACCAGTACAGAAAACAGCCTACTGAGACCAAATGTAATCCATCGTGATTTATACACTACGGGGAAAAAACCAGTACAGAAAACAGCCTACTGAGACCTAAGTACCCTAGGCGGAAAGGTTTTTTGGTCTAAAGTTAAATGCTAAATACTGCCTTCACTGATTACTAGATGAGAAGGTTCATGCAATGCAACAGCCGCTTCATTACTCAAGTCATGGGATCCTGAGCTCCCACCCTAACAGCCCATAAATGGCATCGCCCCGCAAAGGCATAATATAGTGGTAATAATAAAGGGAAAATTTGAGCAATATACCTTGTACTTGCTTTTGTATATGGAAACGGCAGAAGCATGAGCCAAAAGTTGATGGTGTGCCGCCAAATATGGTTCAGTTTCTGGTTTTTCTTTTCTTCCAGGAGCAAATGTTCCAACATCATAACCATTCACAGCAGTTTGAAGGGGCTCATTTAACGTAATCCAGTTTTTAACTCTATCGCCAAAATTTGCAAAGCAGGTATCTGCATAGATACTGAAGTATTTGCTGCATGTTTTCCAAATATCAGGCATTCATTATAATGTAATCTGTCAACAATTGATGACCATATTAACTAGATGGAAAACATGTGGAAAAGAGAGATTGACCAAAAACTTATTCTTCCTTGCGTATCTTCAAAAAAGAGAATGCAAATCTTCAGCAAAGTAATTGTGTTTTCCCTTTTGAAGTCATTATCAGATATCACATTACAACATTTGATGGATTCTTCTGTCCCATTGTTGTTGTATTACAATCCCCTCATTTTTTTCTTTTTTTTTTTTTTTTTTTTTTTTTTTTGCTAAAGCAACTTTTATTTGCAGAGTTTAAACACAAGGATACATAATGTCATCTTTAAAGGGGCGAGAAAACAAAACAAAAATATGATCAGAAGCAATAACACTGTTAGTAAATACTTTACGGTGTTGTGAAGAATTTATACTTACACAATCTCCTTATTCAGCCACCCGTCCAGTGTCTCATGAAGATGCAAGGGAAGATCCCAATGGTACAGAGTCACATAAGGCTCGATACCTGCATAAGGTGTCAATGGTACAACGTTACATACATCTAGATCCCTGCATAAACAAATTTTTAAATATAATGAAAATAGAAGGAATCCAAGCTCAAATGTTTTTAGTACCTTTTTCAAGCAGAGAGTTAATGATGTTATTATAATAAGTAATTCCTTCTTCGTTGACCTTGGTTCCCAAGCCATCTGCAAGAAAGATGTATCATAAAAAAATCCAGATGGAAACATAAAATGGAAACATAATTTGACACTGGTTTTTATTTTTTATTTTTTCTTTCAGACCATATCTTGAAGGGATATGAATACACTTATTCAAGATGGAAACTTTATCTCTTCGGGAAAAGAGGGAGGTTTGAAATTAGAGAATAAAGCTGATATATTGTCACAGATAATTTTATCGTCAAATCTAAAGAATGAATCCTGCAGCAAGTTTGACATGTAAACAATAAAGGGAAGTTATAATGACCGAGATGAATGCTTAAATCAACAAAGTAAAAAAAAAGAATGTAATAGCAAAAGAACTTGGAGTGGCCCAAATTTTTATATTTACACTCTCCTATCGATTATCATCATTAATATATTGAAGGTGACAGGAAGGCATGTACCAGGGAAGATGCGTGACCATGATATGGAAATGCGATAAGCATCAAATCCTAACTTGGCTATAAGTTCAACATCTTCCTGTAAATTTGTATTGAAATAGACAGTTAACAGAAAAAAGACAGCAAAAAATCTGAAAAGGTTTAAAGAGATAAAATACGCAAATCAAGAACATAATTTGATCAAAATTCTGGCATGAACTAAGATCCAACAATTTGGCAGCATAATCGATAACAAAGAATAAATGATCTAATTGTTACCATGGGTCCACTTGGCATGGCTTCTCAGAAGCAAACTTTTGGCCCTCTGGTTCGATAAGCTGCTTCTGGGAGTGCGTGGATAATTTTTCATAAGAGTTTTGGTGTTCCAGTCAAAGCCCCTAAATATGGCTTCTCAAGAATGTTATCCTAGAATACTTTTAAAACTTGTATTCGGGTTTAAATTAATACATGATAAACTCTGTAGTAACATTGGCCTGCTTGCTAAATACTATTTGTTTGTCCCGTTAAGCTTTCTTAAAAAGTGGTTCCAAAAATTGACTCTTCTTCTAAATACCTAAAAGCATGAGGGAAAAACTATCCCAGACCCACCTCTCCTCCTTTCCCAACCTTCAGAAAATGGGGGAAAAGAGGAACACATGCGCGAAAACTTCCAAAATTAAATAACGATAAAAGCATAAGCGCAACATTAATATATAAAATATGAAAGAAGTAATAAAGAAAAAATTCATGAGAAAATCACTTGAAAATCTAGCACAAGTGACAGAAACTGACCTTGTATCTGTGATACTGGTCCACTGCAATGTCACCATTGCTTCCATCAATAACGTTTCCTAACAAATAACAAATTAAGACCCATCAACACAAAACACTATCTGCTTTTAGATTTGCTATTAAAGCTAATCCACAAATTAAGACTAATCCACCTTTTTCCTATATATATTATATATAGAAAAAAAGGGCAAAAATGGAAGAAACACATTACCAGAAATGTGTGTAAAGGCATCCCAAATACAAGGACCTCTACCACCCTCATCGCAGGCTCCTTCAACCTAACAGTTTAACACCACAAAAAATTAAAAATTAAAAATTAAAAAAGAGAGAGAAATTAATATATGATCATTCATATTTTACAAAGAAAAAAAGATATATTTTTCCGCGATGAAACATCCAAATAAAGATTAAAAAAAAGAAGGAAAAACAGAGACAAAAAAAAAAAAAAAACAGAGTTGGCGATCGGTAGTAGTAAACATTACATGCAGCAGGTGAGTTATAGTTTTAAATCTGTAGTAATTAAAAAAAAAAAAAAGAAAGCAAAATTCAAAGAGAGAACCTGATAAGCAGAAGTGGCGACGCCGAAAACAAAGTTGGGAGGGAAGTCAGAGCGAGAGATATCACCATGATCGTTTTCTTCTTCTTGTTGTTCTGCAGAAAGAGCATTATTGTTGAAGAAGAAGTCCTCTTTCTTCACCATTTTTCTTTTCTTCTTCCTCTACTCTTTTAACTGTTGCTCTCTCTCTCTCTCTCTCTCTCTCTCTAAACCAATCTGCCTTTGTCGTTACTGCTAAATAATTTTATTAGATCAAATGTCATTATCAAATTCGATGCTATTTATTATCACTACTTGTGATCTAGTAATAGAGAACTAAACCTCCCCATAAAAAAATAAAAAATAATAAAAAAAGAACTAAAACTAGGTTATTCATTGTTTCAAATTTTCAATGTTGTAACGTGTACGTAATCATTGCATCACTAATTATAATAAATAATATAGTATAATTTATTATATAAATATATCTCATTATTTAATTATTAGTGTTATTTTTTCAAGCAAAAATAAAAAATAAAAAATTATTAGTGTTATTTTCTGTAACAATGTTAAATATTTCTTTTGGTGATACAACCATCAAATAAGTGGGCAACCTGTATGTTTAAATATTTATTTTGGTAGAAAGCAATATCTTTAAATCTACCACCAAACACAGTGATTAGTGAGATCTAGTTTATTTTACATTTTGCCATGCGATAATTCTTTTTTTTAAAATTTTTTTTCCTGGTTATTCTTGACCTATTCGTGTTACGCAGTCTTTGTGCTATCTTGTTAAAAGAATGTTTGGTTGGAGGATTCAACCATGATTTAAATTATGATTCATGATTTATTACAGTGTTTTTTCTCACAAAAAATACACGTAAATAAAAAATAATTTTAACCACATGATCATAATTTATGAACCAAACGTCTTCTAAGTTTTGTGCCTCTGCTAATCCATTTAGGATTGGCACAACATTGATTAATGGTAGTCTAAAAACAACCAAAACACACGGGGCTTGTTCTGGAGGTTGCAGACCATGGATGGGAAATGGTTTTTTGGTTTACTGATTTTGGAAGGAAGCCCTTTTTGGTTCAAGCTTATGTATTCTTTATTATTAACAATTTTGTTGCTTAGATGATAAGAAAAAAAATCATTTTGATATTCTATATTTTCTCGTAACATATCCAATATATTCTGCGTGTTGAAAGGTACTTTGACGTTTTTAAAAGCGCAATTTTGATACATTGACTCTGTTTTTTAGAAAATAAGATGTCAAAACTACTATTTTGTTATTTGATACCTTTACTCTGTTTTTTAGAAAATAAGACTTCTAAACTACCGTTTTCATTAAATAATGAAAATCAATAATTTTGAGATATGGCATTTTATGAAGGAGGAGCAAGATGTTCTATTCTTGGTGTTCTTTTTTATTTTATTTTTAATTTTCAAAATGTTCTTCAGATATTAAATAAATTGGTCAATTAATTAGAAGATATAAAAGAAATTTTAGCCCCATTCGTTTTATAATTTGAATCACAACTCAATTTTTTGTTACAGTATTTTCTCCTATAAAAATTTAAATTTAATTTTTTTATTATAGTGCTTTCTTTCACTTAA